AGTACTTGAAGAATACAGTGATGCTAATTGGATATCAGATACTAAGGATTCTAAATCCACAAGTGGCTATGTCTTTACTATTGGAGGAGGTGCCATATCTTGGAAATCTTCAAAACAAACTTGTATTGCCAGATCCACTATGGAATCTGAATTTATTGCTTTGGATAAAGCAGGTGAAGAAGCTGAGTGGCTTCGTAATTTCTTAGAAGATATTCCAAATTGGCCTAAACCGGTGCCCGCTATATGTATACATTGTGATAGTCAATCAGCAATTGGAAGGGCACAAAGTAATATGTACAACGGTAAGTCTCGACATATACGTCGACGACATAATACCGTTAGACAATTGCTCTCAAGTGGGATAATCTCAATAGATTATATCAGGTCAAAAGATAATTTAGCGGATCCATTTACAAAAGGTTTAACAAGAGAGCAAGTATATAGTTCATCGAGGGGAATGGGATTAAAGCCGAAAGCTAACGAGTCATCTTAATGGAAACCCAACCTAGTTGACTGGAGATCCCAAGATCTAGGTTCAAAGGGACAACAGAAATACTGAATGGCTCACCAGAAGCACTGGGAAGATTCAATCTTCTACCCATTTCTATGATGAGACAGTGTTACCTACAGCGATGAGTAGGATAAGCTATGCTTTTAATGACTCTTATACCTTGAAAATTCAAGTGGGGTATGGTAGGATACTCTTAATAAGAAGTTACCTATATGAGTGTGAAGTGGGGCCGCTTCTATGAGAACTTCTAAGGCTAAGTTTTCTGGAGCGCTCATGAAATACCAGGCGTTGTTCAGGGCCATATGAACACAACCGTGAGAACCGACTTTGTGTGGGAAGGAATTGTGTGTTTGCTATTGTCTTGGTTTACATCAACGGCTGAACAGTTCAAGACATAATGTTCACTGGTTAGCTAGTAAATCCGATAGTAATACACTAGGGAAGGTTCAAGGCCAAAAGCTACCTATCCCGATGCAATAACTTTCCAATAGTACTCTCTATAGTGTCTGTATCTTCTCCTTTTGTAATCTGCGAAAATTTTCATTCATGTGGGGGATTGTTGGAAACGGCATTAGAAAACGCAAACTTTGGAAGGATTTTTAAAAAGATTCCGCTAAGAATTTTTTGCAAATCTACTGATGAGCGCGTTCCTCTCTGCGAGGAGATGAACGTGGTATATTTATTTTCTCAAATCCATTTCCGGGTGAATGAGAAATTGGCTCCAAAGTAAGTGATTTATAAAGCCTAAATGGGTGTGAATAAAGTGGGAAATGCTTGTCCCACATCGAAAAAGTAGCAAAGCAACCTTGAGTATAAATATGTCTAGTATGGGATTTGGGTTTGGGCCCAAGGGCACCCAAGTTTTTAAGAGGGGGAGGACCTAGGCTAGCCTGGATCCGAACCAACTACCACACGCGCGCGCCGCCCGCCCGGTCTGGTCCGGGCTAGGGCGGGGTGGGGCTTGATTGTGAAATGGGTTTAACTTTTTACCCAAAGTTGGAATGGGCCTGTGTGGTTGTAATTTTATTTTGATGCTGGACTTATCAAAATGGGCCTGTTTACTGGGCTGAATTAATGGCCGAGTTGGATTATTTGCTTGCTGGACTGGACGAAATTAAAGGGCTGGGCTGGATCAGAATTTGAACCAAGAGTTGCACCCTTTACAAATTAAAAAACCACCAACAGTTTTTCAATTCTGATTGGTCAACAATGGTTGCACCCATTCGGATTATGGTTGCACCCATTCAGAATAGGCACCAACAAGCCTATAAATACCCATCATTGTCTTCATTTCAAAACACACCAAGTTCAGAAATCTTTTTCTCTTCTTCTGAATTTCTTCTTCTAATTCTTCTTTGTTCGGTTCAGCCACTGGTTTGGGTTCAACCTAAACTGGTTTGGATTGGGTTCGAACCTTGGTTTCCAAGTTTCGGTTCAATCTTGGTTTCCAAGTTTCGGTTCAATCTTGGTCTCCGAGTTAGGGTTCAATCCTGGTCTCCGAGTCTGAGTTCAACAGAGAGTACTACACCGAGCCGGTTCGCCTATTCCATTGGTTTGAAGTGCTACTACCAAAGGAAGAAAAGTCGTTGTATCCTGGGAGATAGACGCCGAAGAGTCCGTTAGCACCGTAGCGGGGCGTATCTGTCTTAAGGCTATAGAATTAAATTCTAACCTCGACTTTATCAGGTTCTTTTATAGTTTTATTTTCTTGATATTAAAGTATATAAATATATATATAGATTATTATATTATTTACAAATAATATTTAAATAAATTATACTATAGTATATGATACATAATTTTTTTTTTCAACATTTTGTATTCTGGATTGTGTATTAAGTATATTTTGTATCATCGTGTCCCAAAATATATGACTTGAGAGACGGTTAAAAATATTTGGGGCTAGAGATGAGGATCCAAGAAGGCTTCCTTATTCTAGCTCCAATTGGATAGAGCTCATAACTCTATCATATCCAGTTAATTACAATAAGCACCACAATAGTATTGTAATTGCACTCTTTTGGATTTAGAAATTACGTGTTGATAAATAAAATGATTCAGTAGCTAAATTGGTTCGAATTTTAGCCCAACTTCAATGAATCTGTCAAAGTGTGATGGGAAGGGTTTCGATACCAAGCATTCTAGCAAAATGGAGATTCTTGTTCTTATAGTATTCGACATTCAACAGGAATTCGCGTCGCGCTTTTCATTGCATTAAGGCCAAAAATAAGGTCTTTTAGCAAACTTGACAGAAGGTCCCGCTGCTAAGACTTGAAAGGCAGAAATGCACTTCAAGGAAGTTTTCAATTCAACAAGCTTATCAACACATAGGCATAGGCCACTCCTCATTCTAGTAGAAAGGCCAAGGCCTGATGATAGATTGAAGTTAGCAGGTTTCCATTTGTGCATGCTTTTGATATGGCTTGCACCAGAGATAGGTTAACTGGTTTTGTTTGATAAGAAGGGGAAGTTGAGGTGATTTGGGCCAATCCTGGGCCTTTCACACACTGAGCTCTACTGGACAACTCTTGCTTGATCTACTTTGATCATTAATCGATGGATGAATGGCATCACCGAACCAAACCTAATGAAACATGGTGCTGCCTCCGTATTGTTGTTTTGGAATTGTACAAGAATTAGGTCAAAAGTAGTTCAATTATTTACATATTTATTTATATAATTAGAGGAAGTACATTCACTAAAAAATTCGAACCTCTAGATTAAAAAAAAAAAGAAAAAAAAAAAGAATGAAAATCTACTCCTTTGTTATTTGGCCAAACATTTCTTTGGCAGTATATCCATAGATAACACGAGAGAATGTTGGAAATGGCAATCCTAATGATTGTGGAATTTTCAATCCTTCATAATCAATTCCATGATTATGGACCGGCTTGAGTAGTCATTCACCTAGGCTTAGGACGCTTATAGTATTTCTCAATCTCTAAAGCCTTGTGATGAGCTTCTTCTAACACGTCAGCATGCAAATTGACTTCTCTCTTGATCTTGGGCTTTAAACAATTTAGGCGCTACTTAACTAGATTATTACAATCATTCATACCTGACACTGTGTCTGCCCTCAAAGAACCTCTATCGAAAGCTAGGCCAGCAAAAATTGACAAATTCATTTCTATTGTCCAAATTAATGTGATTTATACTTGGGGTGCAACTTGAGTTGGGTAATCTGAACCCAACTCGAATTAGTCTAATTTTTTATGAGCTTAAGCAATTATTTTTGTAATTAGAGTTGGACTTGGGATGAAATTTTTTTAATTGAATTTAATTAAGGTTGGATTTGGATTGATGTGTTAGCACCTGAGCCAACCCGAAACCGACTTATAATATTATTTATATATTTTTATTTTAAATCAAGTTTATATAATATTCAAATTCTAATAATCTTTTTCTTTTTTTTTAACTTCCTTTGTTTAATTTCTAATTTACCGTCTGTTAACAATTTGGATAATTAATTTTCTAATAATTCGTTTGTAATTTATTAAAATTTTACAATAATTTCTTAGAATTGTTTGTATTTAAGAGAAATTTAATATGAAACTAACTCAAAATCACATTAAAAATTCAATGTATAACCTGAATTAACCTAATTTTTTAAATCGAAATTTCAATTCCAGTTTAAAAATAGAAAGATTAGTTAGACAAGAGTTTGGTAGTTAGGAAACAAAGTGAATGCTCAAACTTGTGTCCTCACATCTACCAAATGATTAGATTTGGATTATCAAAAATAAATATTTCTTATGGACACCCAAAAAAAAAAAAAAAAAAAACTTTTATAATCAATATGAATGAATTTGGTTATGATTTTATTTTTCTCTTTTGTAGAATGGGTTAGAGTTTATATGTCGGCAAGAATAGTTCATTCTTTATCTTTTTTTCATCAACCAAAAGTCAAAGACTATAATTTTCTTTTTAATTAATAATGAATACTGTTACTACTATTATTATTGATCTTGGAAGAATTGAGACTAGAACAAAAGCGACAAAAATCTATCAATGAGAACGGTAACCGGACACTCATTTAAAAGAATTGTATAACTTAGATTAATCAAGTCCAATTTGAAAAACAAAAGAGGCTCTCAAAATTTGAAAAACAAAAGAGGCTCTCAAAATTTTCATTTCGTATAGAATAGGTTAGAGGTTATTAGTCGGCAAGGATCGTTCATCTTTTATCTTTTTTTCATCAACCAAAAGTAAAAGATTATAATTTTCTTTTTAATTAATAACGAATACTGCTACTACCATTATTACTAATCTTCAAAAATTGAGAGCCAGAACAAAAGCGACAAAAATCAATGAGAACGGACGCCCATTTAAAACAATTGTATGGCTTAGATTAGTCAAGTCCAATTGACTATTATCTATAAGTTAATAACCCTTTGGTCATAAGCACAGAACGCACCAGTGGTCGAGTGGTAGAATGGTACACTGCCACGGGCCCCAACCCTGGTTCGATTCTCGTCTGGTGCATTCGCGAGAACAGTGAAGAGATGTTTGCGTTCAATGTGAGGATTGGGTTTCTCACGAGCTTCCGATTCCGGAAGAAAACTGCGCATCTGAGTTCTTTTTTCTTTTTCTTTTTCTTTTTTTTGGTGCCCCTTTGAAAAAGAAATAAGAATAAACTTAGATTAAAATAAAACATTCTCAAAGCTATACAATTTTTGAAAATTTATTTTTAAAGTGATTTGTTTGGTAAACATCACCAATTAAAAGTTGCACGTGAAACAATTCAACTTAAATATTACTATTCATATAAAAATATATATTTTCTCAAGTGTATTAAATAACGTAAGAGTAATTTAATGAATACAAAAAGCGTTATAATGAGTCCTATCATTGTGAATTAAAAATTGATTTTTACATCGAATTATCGTAATAAATTGTTAGAACTATTAATTTTAATTGGTTTTCTTTATAATGAATAACTAATTAAAATCACTATTCTTGTGAATTTGTGCCCTCCAACTATATATCTCTTTATTTTTTAGTAAATAAATCACATGTACTACTCATTTAATATTTATCTCAATTTTAAATGTTATGGTAGAGAGCAAAAGCACTTAAACTCGAACAATCCAGTAACATTTTCTTCTTGTTTGGTCTATTCTACAATCATAGTCTTTATTTATTCAATACAATTAGAGGGATTACTTAATGAACAATATTTGGATCCAACTCAAGTCAGATGAAATTCTTTCAACTTGCTAATGTGACCCAATAAAATTGTAAAAAGTGTTAAAATTAAATTAGGCATTGCTTAACTTTTGCTTTTGAACACTTGATTTAGATCTATTGGGCCACGTTAACACGATGGATGGGTTGAACCCAAACATTGTTTTATTTATGTTATGTTCGGTAGGAAAAAAGAGGAGTGGTGGAAGGAAAATAGTAAGAAAGGAACAAATTTCATTCGTTCAATAGAGATGATATAAGGAAATAAAGGATAATAGAGAAGGATGAGTCCTCCTTCTTCTTTCAAAAATTTTCTTCCGCAAGATATGAAAGAAGACAAGTAAGCCTATTATAGAAGTTTTAAACTACTATATCACCCTTCATAAATATTTAATAAGTCCCATAAATAAAGTAAGGAATTGGTTTAATGGTAAAAATAACTTAAAAATTTATTTTTCCTTTTATCTTACTGATTAAATTAAATTGTCAGTTTTTTCCATTATCCTCCATCCAACTGAACAAAAAGAGAAAAAAACTTAATTTCTTCCCTGAGGATGTCTCAGTCATCTTTTCTTCTCTCCATTCCATTCAATTTTTTTCCTTCCTACCGAACGGACTATTAATGAATATTTGTAACAGGCGAGAAATTATTAGATGGTTTTGGTCTATTTGACACTTGGTGGACTAATTCAATGAAAACCCTATTATTATAAAACTTTGTAATTTATTAATACACTTTTATATGTCAATTTCCTCGATCCAAGAGTCTGTATTTAACTAGTCCACCGATTGTTAATGGATCAAGACTATCTCAACATTATCTAAAAATTTACTGAATCTAAAAGCTTGTAAATTTTTTTAAAGCAATTTAAATAGTTTTTTTTTTAATTAAACGGCAATTTTTGGTGTTGGTAATTGAAAAACAGTAGTAAATATTCTTACTTTCTAGTCTTATAAACTAAAAAGAATATGTGTATATATATATATATATATATATATATATATTTATATACATATAGGTATTACAGTTTATATTTTGTTCCTTTTCAGTTCCTGTTTTGTTCTGAAAAGAAAATATAGAGTAATTAATTGTTAAGGTCAGTTTTCTTCGAAATAGGAAAGGTGTGGTCCCACTCCATCGTGGGTCATCTTCATAGCGTGGCAATGAACACAAATTTTGAGCTTTTCAAGGTATAGAAATACCTACTATACAAGTTACATACGTCTACGACTTTTTAATGACGTGTACGTCATCCTTATCTGCACACGTTTTCGAGTAAAGCCAAGTGGAGAGCAGTTTATATTCTGTGTGATTACGTCCACCTTTCAATCTCTGACTCTCTCCGCCAGATCACCGTCGATTATCAAATTTTAGGAAATCACCCTACAATTACGAAGCATGAATGTTCTTAACATATTGCATCACACATATTTGTAATATATATAGTAGTAGTATAATATATGTAGTACATACGTAATCTCTTATTTATGTAATAAGTCCATATGTAGATCTATCCTATTTCTTTCCACTTTTAAAAAGAAAATTAAAAATAATTCTCAGATGTATGTTTTTTAAAGTCAGATTTATCCGACTCAAAGAGTATTTGTTTTTTTGATACTAAAGAATGGACCTATATTTATATTTATTAATTACATTAATAAAGTTTCGGTGAAAAATTAATAAATAATTATTTTTATTATATTTAAATAGTTTTTCTTGATAAATATTTTACAATAATTAAAAATTTCAAAACAAAAAAAAATATTTTAAAAAGCATTTTACATTCAAACAAACGAACCTAAATGAATAAAATTTTTGTTGGCCAAATAAATAGACCTACAAAATAAGTAGATAATTTCAAAATATGATCCAATTATAAACACATTATTTATAAAATATTTATTTTTAGAAATAAATTCAGTGCCTTATCTATGTTTCTTATTTACCTTTCCATGCTTAAAGATCGATAGTTATGTACGAGCATCGTCCTAAATCATTTTACATATTCAAATATATCTATAGGTATTATACAGTGTGTAGTTTGTGTGTGTCTCTTTCTCTCTACATATATATATATATATATATATATATGCGCGCAATTTCGTGTATTAAGCATTAATACGTGTATATAACTGCATATGCATCTTTTCAGTGCGCGAAGCAAGCAGAAGCAGTTGGTTAGGACTTGGGACTTGGAAGAAGCTTAATTCAAGGAGAGTGATAGAGAGAAGAAGCTTTGTTCATCACTGTGTAGCTGCAACAGATTAGGGTTTCGAATCGCACAGAGAAATGGAGAGTGTGGACTCGTCAATGTTGGCTCGAGGACGCTTGGCTGTGCTATCAGCTCATCTCTCTGCTTCCATTGAATCAGACTCATTTTCGCCAATTTTGGAGACCTCATGCGTCTCATCTCAATCGATGGTGGCACCACCGCCAAATCTCAAGGGTTCGTTGACAATCATCGATGAGAGAACTGGTAAGAAGTACCAAGTTCAGGTCTCTGAAGAAGGAACTATCAAAGCTACCGATTTGAAGAAGGTAAATTTAAAAGCTGTAATTGATTGATATTATTTTCGTAATTTGTTCTTTGTTTCCATGTGAAGTGGGTTTAATTTTGATCTGATCAAGGGTTTTTCCAATTTGGGTTAGAACTTTTAATTGTTGTTTATGTTGTTGTGTTGTATTGTTGTTTGATTGTGTTTGGGTTTGAGTTTATTCATCTTTAGCCATTTGGTTTTTCTGTTAGATAATTTCTTTTTCATCAGGATTTCAGAATAAGATTTCATAGTTCCTCTGATTGTTTTTTTCTTCACAAATGCTGGGAAAATCATCTCTCACAAATGATGCACTTGTCCTGAAATTATCTAGATTTCGTTAGGCCTTCAGATATAGATTGCCCCAAGGGTGCCATATTGTAGGAGCCTGCACTACGTGATTGAATAAATCCTCTTCTCTCTGTTGAGGGTTGAGGGATTCTCAAATCCTTGCAAAACACATGGGATTTGACAAATGTTTGAGCTAGCTCGATCACATGGGATCTGATATAGTAAATAATCAATAAATCGTAACACCTTGAGATTGGAAATGGTTTGAGTTTAATTTGTCTATACTTTTGAAGTGTTTTAAAAGAATTACTTAAGGAGGCGTTCTTAGTTCAAAAATAGTGAAAAAAGTATTATTGAAAATGCATGCTGTACATGTACCATTGCTTTAGAAGCCTCTAAAATGAAACTTAGGAGTATTATGACTGAAATAGAAGTAGGTGTTCAAATTTGAGAGCCAAACTAATATGTTAGTGACACTTGTTTTATTTGACCAAAATCATGCTGTGGATAGGCATAGTTTTATTCATAGAGTTATTCTCATTGAACTAATATGTTTACAATTTAAATGCTACTATTTTCCAACCAATTTACACTAATATTAAACTAAATAGTTGTCAAGAACTATAGACTTAGTGTATTAGAATAACTATGGTTTTGCTTAGGCATTTGGATACACCCAATTGAATTCAACATGCATGACTATTAGTTAATACAACTAAATACTATTGATTTGAAAAAACTATGTTCATATCATATTTTATCTTTTTTTTCATATACAAAATATGTGAAAAAAACCATTTTCTAAGATATGTGATCTAATATGCTAAAAAATACTAATGTTTAAAATTTTTGAGTCCGTATCTTACAAAAGATAGTCAAACTAAATTAAAACATAATATTGAAATTCCAAGTTCAAATGAACAAGATATTTAACAAATCACAGGATTTTTAATCTCATGATGTTAGAATCCTAGGGTTTGTCAAATCCACAATTCTAGATCTTCCCAACAACACATCCATAATGATAATACTTTATTAATGTTGTTTGGCTATGGAGAAAATGCGAGAAAAGAAAAAGAAACACATCCATAATGATAATACTATATTAATGTTGTTTGGCTATGGAGAAAATGCGAGAAAAGAAAAAGAAACATCAATGGGGATATTTTGTTTTGCATCTTTTGGGACTTCTAAAAACTAGAAACTCTACCTAATTGAGCTAACTGAGGTGTAAATTTTTTTTAAAGTGTTAATTTTCTCTCTCTCTTTTTTCATGAATTTGGATTGTATTCAGGGAAAAAAGATGAATTCAGATTGAAACATAAAACATAAGGACCATAATCCATTTCTTGTTTTGCTGCAGTGCTTGAAGGGCAAGAATGGAAATAAACATAACCATTGGCATTCTTTGCACAAACTGGCTGTTCTCATAGCTTTTACATTTGCACCAAGCAATGGCCCCATAAGGACCATTATTCATTTCTTGTTTTGCTGCAGTGCTTGAAGGGCAAGAATGGAAATAAACATAACCTTTGGCATTATTTGCACAAACTGGCTGTTCTCATAGCTTTTACATTTGCACCAGGCAATGGCCCCTTAAAACATGAAACATAAAGTTTATAATTTGCTTCTCATTTTCAAAGTTTCATTTGCAACCAAATGAGGAGGTTAATGTTTTGCCTATCCTGTGATTTTAAATTGATTATATTGTGAATTCTGATTAGACTTGGTTTCAATCACCAAGGATTATGAAGGACCTTATTTTTGGTTCTCCCACTCACTATTTTACTTTTTCGGGAAAATATGGGGGTTGGCTTATTCATTGTATATCACGTGATGAATATATCATATCAGCGAATCTATGTATTTCCTGATTTGACTTCTTTTTTCTTTCAAAATTTGTACATGGCACTTATAGTTGCAAATTAACAGGTAACAACAGGAAAAAATGACAAAGGGCTCAAACTTTATGATCCAGGCTATCTTAACACAGCTCCTGTTCGCTCAACAATTTGCTACATTGATGGTGATGAGGGTGTCCTTAGATATAGGGGTTACCAGATTGAGGAGTTGGCTGAGGGTAGTTCCTTTCTGGAAGTTGCGTACCTCTTATGTAAGAATTCATTTTTCTTGATAAGTCTGAGTAATTTTTCTTGATAAGTCTGAGTAATTTTAAATGAGTGTCCGTGCTTTGAGTTTTTATATACATCTATCTTAGTGACTAATAATTTTGGGGAACAAGGTATATATTTGATAACATAATTGTGATTATAAGAAGTTTTCCTAGTGCACATATCATGATACCTGTTAAAAAAGCTATTTTTTATTGGTAAGTAGTGTTAAAAAAGCTATTCAAATATAATGATGTTAAAAGTGAATGTCACAAGTATCTTCCAGAGTATGTTTCCCCAATATATTCGATGGAGAGAAATAGAATATGTTTCACAAATATAAGGCATTAAAAGCTGATGATCATGCATAATTGTATCATCCAAGTTGATTTTTGTATCCCATGTAAGTTTCTTGGATGTTTCTTAATACGTACCCACGTTGGACATATATCAGGTTCTGCACTACTGGAAACAATAAAATATTTTTTACTTTTTTTGGTTTCCCACTGTACAGTAGGACACCAACTTAAGCTTTAGACTACTTCCTGACCATGAAATTTATTTGTTAAGATTTGTTTATTTATATTTATGCGAAGTTCTTAGGCTCTAGCATTGTCTAATAAAATATATTGTGAAATTAATAAATCTACAAATTGACATTTTTTTTCCTGGGTAAATGTGGAAAAATTTATTGATATCAACAATATAGTACAATAGAACAAACAAAGGCATACCCTTGAACACCACCTTCAAACCAGAGAAAACTAAACAACCTCACTGAGTAACAACAACTCATGAGCGATACATTAAGCAACAATTAATTAGGTAAGCTAACATCATTCAAGTTGAGACCAGATTGGTCCAAGATCTCCCACCAGATGAGCCTAACCACCTCTACTGTTGACCTTGATAGACTCTCATGCATTCTTCTATTCATCTCGGCCCACAAATACGATATAGTAGTGGAGAACAACCTGACATAGATTCTGGACTGACAGTCAGCAAAGCAGTGAGCCAGTTGCAGCAGAGAAGAAACCTCAAGCATGGTCCATTTCAGCAATGAGAATAGCCAATTCCAGACAGTCCCAGATAAAGGGCAATGAAGAAAAAGATGATCCACATTATCTTCGTCACTCATACAATTACGGCGAAATGAAGTTAAGCAAATACCCCTTTTTCTAAGGTTACAGAAAGTGAGGAGTTTGCTTTGGATAGCTAGACAAGTAGTGACAACTACCCTAGGCCTGCACCCCACTTGTACTTCTTTTTAAAATTCTACCGATAACTTTTTATCTTTTTATTTTTTATTTTTTATTTTTTTTGACAAGTAAAGATGTATTAAAAAGCGTTCAAAAGGGGAACGCATCCCTCAGAAACAACACAAGACCTAATAGGGCCTCTAACCACTCAAGAGTCCAAAAAATCAACATTATCATGCATGGATTTACAATTTTTTCCGAACACCCAACAAAAAGGAGTACTAATAATGGAGAACTTCAACATGCCAACATTATTATAACCCACTGGACCATGAACAAAGTCCCAAGCTATAGGGCAATGCAAAAGAAGATGATAACTTCATTCTCCTTTCTCATGAAAATTGATGGATAACAAATACAGAGAATTTATTGTTGAGGGGAAAATATATATTAAGCAATCACAATTACAAGTAAATTAATTACTTTAATCATGATATATATGTACAAGTAAATTAATTACTTTAATCATGGTATATATTATCTAAGCGTTCAAGTTCATTTTAAACCTATAAATTTTGAGTTGCAAATGAGATGAAAGTTCATGGAACACCAAGGTGGTGTAATTAGAAATGGGATGGGGGCAACTCAAGGATATTAGATTAAGTTATCATTACATAGCCCGTAAAAGGAGATTACTATTTCTCCTTTCTTTTAAAATTTAAGGGAGTGGCAAGAAATTAAGATGGTTGAGGAATTCATAGAAATATGGTATCTAAAGGGTGAAGTAGTAAATAGATTTAAAGGTTTAAATGATAGAAGGTCCAAATGGTGTAGATTTGGCCCACTTTTTGGAATATTATTAAAATTCTCAATGTAATAATTACTATGCACTTCTATCTTTTAAGAAGTAAAATATAGTGCTGTCTATAGGATATAAGTAAGTTGTTTGTTTTCACAAATTGACTTGTGAAATTTATGGGCAAACAAGTAGTTAATAGCTATTAGACTTCTCTTTTTAAGAGTCAATTCCATGCATTTGCACGCTCCATGTGTATGGTTTATATGTTCAATTTCACTTTCTAATCGTGATTGCTTCTTTTTTGCAGTGTATGGGAACTTACCTTCTGAAAGTCAGCTGGCAGACTGGGAATTTGCTGTTTCACAACATTCTGCAGTTCCACAGGGAATTTTGGTGTGTTTATCTTCCTTTCTCCTAGAAACCTATGACTTTTGTATAGCTAAAAAAATGGAATTCCATATTTAAAATTTAACTTATTTTTCACCTACCTTACATTGGGTGGGTTGGTTGACCGTCTATTCGTATTAGGTCATAAAACGTAATAATAGCATCTCAGAAAGCATTGAGCATATGATGCGACTGAGGGTACCTGTTAACCTGTCATTCTGGCAAAATTCTTCAATAGTGTTGGCAGTTTCTGGACCTTGAGTTAGAACTTAATATTGTTCAGTATTTGTTAGGTACATGCATCCATTAATCCAATATTGTAAACATAACCTTGATTTTGGCAGCAATTATTGCCTAGGTTGTTACAAAATGCTCTTCCCATTCCGAAAGAAGTCCTCTTCCTTTTCTCTGTACAAAACAATATTTTTGAATTGATTCTAATTCTTTTATATTTAATGCAATTAGCTGAACTTTTTTGTAGCATTAAATCATTTTGAACTGTGGTTGAATATATATTCTTAGACAATGATAATGATTTGCAATCTAATGATATGCAAAATCCACCATTTTATTGCTACAATGTTCATATTGATATTGGCAGGATCTGAATTTTGATTGGATAGTAAAAGAGAAACACTAGAGTATGGTTCCATAATATCAGAAGGATTTGCATAATATCTAATTTACAAGAATACCGATTATGTCATCCTGATTCCTTCTTTTTTGTATTTTTTCCAACTTTAGGTATGAATTGATACTATAGAAGGCAAGCCAGGTGTTCTGATTCAATCAATTAAGTTAGTTTTTTTTTTTTTTTTTTCAAAAAAAAAAAAAATCAGTTTAAAGTCGAATGGAGGACGTGTGGGTCATGTTCTTTGGTCTGTTTGGTGTTTTTTCTCTTTTGAGGTCTCGCCAGGGTCCACATTGAGAACTCTCAAGGTTTGGAGAGGTTGTGCAGTGGTATTGCAAGCTCGAGACGCTTGGAGAGTGACCGCTTTGTGCTTATGGCAGGGCTGTGGAGGGAGAGAAATAGGTGGTCATTAGATGGGGAGGAATCTCCTATTCCGGCCTTGAAGAATTCTATCTTGAGATCATTTTCTTTTTGGGTCAAAGGTCGGAATTGTAAATCTTTGGGAGATTTTATTGACTTTATTGATAATATGAAAGTATAGAGTCTATGGTTGGTTGTTTGGTTTATTTCTATCTTTGTGGGTGTGCTCCCCTTTTGAACGCTCTTATTGAAAATTTTATATAAAAAAAAAAAAAATAATTGTGGAGTTTGGAAATATCGGAAAAGAATTCCTGCAATTTTTTCTATAATAGTAATTAACTTTTTTGTAGGTTTGCTAGTATTGCCATAGTTTAATGTAACCTGGGTTATGTGGTTGTTTAAGTTAAACTACAAGTGTCGCTGAATCTTGATTTTAGTTTGTTAATTTGCTTTAGTTCAAATTTTGTCTATGTTGTGCCTAGTGTACACAGCTAGTCCCAAGTCTAGGAAAAGGAGAAAGTTGCATTAGGTAGTTGGCAGCCAACATAAAACTTGTGAGTGCATTTGGATAAGTAGGAGGGGAGGAAAGGATATGGTAGTATCTCCTTTAATTTCCTTCTAACCTTCAATCCAGACCCAGTGATGGTCGTATCATATTAAAAAGAATCCTCAGAATATTTGAGTAAATGTTAGTGATAAATTATTTACCAATGGTAAATCAGCTTCCAGATACTTTTAAAAATGGGCTAAGGGTGGCTGGATGCGGTAAAAAATGGGCAAAGTTTTCTGAAATTTTATGGGCGGACGTGAGTAAAACGTTAATGCAAGATAGTACAATTATATCAGGAATTTGGAATATAGAGACATTGACAAGTAAAGAGATAAAGTTGGTAACCATTTTGATTAGAAAGTGGTTTAATATATAAAGTTGGTAACCATTTTGATTAGAAAGTGGTTTAATATAGCATGCATACAAAAAACTAAAACATAGGATAGAAATTTAGGAAAATTGAAAAAATGTTGTGGTAGCGGACGTGTAAACACAAAGATCTAATGGAAAGCCAACAAAACAATCACACACAAACACAAGATATACATGGTTCACCCAAACTCAGGGCTACGTCCATGGATGAGAAGAGATTCCACCATGATTCGTATAGATATTACAATAATAGAGTACCAATACCATGTACATGTCTTCTCACAATGTACCACTCCACAAGCCTATCTCCTCGCTACCAGTGTCTCCCCAGTGCTTTTCTTACTCATCCAATCCACACACTACCTCTACCCATCAACCCCCTCATTCGACTACATCTCTCTCAATCTCATAAGTCTCAACCCATAACCTAGATGACTATTTATAGAGTTCCAAACACAATTCTTTGTTGGATAAGGATTACAATTTTTTAGAGCTCAAAACTTGCTTAACAATAAATTTTGTAACAGAATACGACTCTAAAACAGAAACCTAATTTAGAATAGGAAATTGAGACACAATTTCTAACAATCTCCACTTTGACTCAAATTCCATCCAACCAATCATAGCAAGGCAATTCATTGTAGCTTCAATCTTGATGATCCTTCTGCAAAACTATCATTGTCCACTATCCACACTGTACACTCCTCAATCAGTCAGACCTCGAAGGCTCCATGTTGACTACTCGAGCTCCATGCCATGTATCCGATCATGATTTTTTGACCATCATGACTCACCTAGCCGATTGATTCCACCTACAACTGAAACCTATTGCAGGACATATTGTGTTGGAAAATTAGAAAAATATTTGGCAGTAATTACCAAGATTGAATAGCTGTAAATTAGCTATAAATTAGGCAGTGATTAGTCAATTATTATAAATTAGGAATGTATTTTTGTTAGGTAAACTAATTAGTTATTATTTTCCTTAATTAGTTATTCTTTTCTTAGTTTAGATTTCTTGTAATTCCTATAAGTAGGAATCCGTGTAAGTCAGAAAAGGATTAATATATGAGAAAATCATTTCCAAACTATTCTCCCTGTTTTTATATTGAGACTTTTTGTATTTTCCAGATCTCCTTCACCTTTGGCTCTGATGCCAATTTGTTGTGATAGCGGAAGCACGCAAACACAAAGATCCAATGGAAAGCCAACAAAGCATTCACACACAAACACAAGATATATATGGTTCACCCAAACTCAGGGCTACGTCCATAAATGAGAAGAGATTCCACTATGATTCGTAGAGATATTACAACAATAGAGTACTCACACCACGTACATGTCTTTTCACCATGTACTACTCCATGAGCCTATCTCCTCGCTACTAGTGTTGCCGATGTTTTTCCTAGTCAATCAATCCTCATACTACCTCTACCCATCAACCCCCTTATGTAACTACATCTCTCTCAATCTCATAAGTCTCAACCCATAACCTATGTGACTATTTATAGAGTTCCTAACACAATTCCTTGTAGACAAGGATTACAATTTCTTAGAGCCCAAGACTTGCTTAACAAGAAATTTTCTAACATAATACAACTCTAAAATAGAAACCTAATCTAGAATAGGAATTTGAGACACAATTTCTAACAATCTCCACCTCGACTCAAATTCCATCCAACCAATCATTGCTTCTCACGGCATTGATCAGGGCAATTCATTGCAGCTTCAATCTTGACGATCCTTTTGCAAAACTATCATTGTCCACACTGTACGCTCCTCGATTAGTCAAACCTACAAGGCTCCACCTTGACTATTCGAGCTCCATACCATGTATCCCATCACGATTTTTTGACCATCGTGACCCATCAAGCCGATTGACTCCACCTACAACTGAAACCTGTTGTAGCACATATTGAGACTTCTTGTGTTTTTTGGATCTCTTTTACCTTTGGCTCTGATACCAATTTGTTGGGGTAGCGGAAGCACGCAAACCAAAGATCCAATGGAAAGCCAACAAAGCAATCACACACAAACACAAGATATGCATAGTTTACCCAAACTCAGGGCTACATCCATGGATGAGTAGATATTCCACTATGATTTGTAGAGATATTACAACAATAGAGTACCGACACCACGTACATGTCTTTTCACCATGTACCACTCCATGAGCCTATCTCCTTGCTACTTGTTGCTGGTTTTTTCCTGCTCAACCAATCCACATACTACCTCTACCCATCAACCCCCTCATGAGATTACATCTCTCTCAATCTCATAAGTCTCAACACATAACCTAGGTGACTATTTATAGAGTTCCAAACTCAATTCCTTGTTGGACAAGGATTACAATTTCTTAGAGCCCAAAACTTGCTTAACAAGAAATTTTCAGAATACAACTCTAAAATAGAAACCTAATTTAGAATAGGAATTTGAGACACAATTTCTAACAAAAAAAAAGGTATAAATTTCATTCCACTGACAGGATAGACTTAGAAATGGAGTAGGGCAATTGTTGATAATAATCTGAAAGAAGCCCTTGTTTCTGTTGTTAGAAAATGATATTACTCCATTTCATGTTAATATTATGTTCCCAAAATTGAAGTATAATTAAGAAAGAGAACATAGATTATAAAAGAAGAACTAGGTGATGGAAAAGAAGGGGAGAAAATAAAATTATTTAGGAATAAGATTTTAAAATAAGCAATGACATTTAAGAGATAAAACTAACATAATGTGGAATACGATTACTCTATTATTGGAGAAAATCAAATTTGTCAACAATGAAAGGGTTAAGGGCCATTATCTGGTGGAATGAGGATGTCGAAATTATCATAAAACAGAAAGTGTTATAGATTTTGGTAAAATACTAGAAATAGAGAAACCTTCGAAAAATAAAACTTAGCGAAGGAAGGAGAGAAGTTAAGTTTAACAGGATATGACGATTTTTATTCTAAATTTGATACAAATGATGAGAGAAGAATATATACAAACTTGATAAGTTATGGGAGAGAGAAACTAGAGATTGTCATGATCTCAAGTGTATCAGGAGCAAGGATCTAAGAGTATAAATGAAAGATGATAAATTTGGATAAATTACGTTGAGAAATATTTAAATGAAAATCCTATTAGAAACTTAAAAAAAAAAAAAATCCTTAAGGGAATAGAAAATTCAAATTTGTCACGGGATTAGGGTGCGTGGGGATAAAAATGCATTGATAGTGATGAAAACATAAATGATTTAGGACTAGAAGGCATCCTATTGAGGCTGGGAAATGTTCACGATGTCTTGTTTAATTTAGTTATTTATTAAGACAATATTAAGAGAAATGGCTTATGAGCTATGCAAAAGAATTTTAGTACCAATATATAAAAATAATGGGGAGATGTTCAAAGTTGTACAACTTGTCGTGGTATCAACTTAGTGACTCGTGCTATGAAATTTTGGGAGAGAGTTACTGAACAAACGTTTAGGCTTGAAACTACAGCGTGGGACAATCAATTTGGGTTTTTGCCAAGAAGGTCAACAATGGAAGCGGTTTATTGATTTTTTATTTTTTATTTTTCTGAAGAGACTAATGAAAAGACAAAGAATAAAGGAGATTTTTATTTGGTTATTACTAATTTAAAGTATGATGGAGTCTCTAAAGATATAAAAAGGTGGGTTTTATATATATAAAAAAAAAGGAGTCACAAATAGTTACATTAATATTCTAAAGAATAAGAATAATCATGAGAGAAACAAGTTACTTTCGAACTATTGTAGGTTTATATCAAGGACATTTTGCCTAGTCATGAATGAATTAATAAAACATGTTTAGAATGAAATTCCATAGTGCATGTGATTTGTTGATGATATCGTTTTAATTGATGAAGTTGGAGCGGGGTAAGTGTTAAATTAGAGGGCTGATGAGACAGAGATGCTCAAGAATTAAGAGGATTTAAGGCAACCATGACTAAAACTCATCATCGTCCTCATCATAATCATCCTTGCCTTTGTCCCATATAAATGAGGTAGTCCCTGTTGGGTTAATGTTAGAGGAAGTGGAATACCAAAACTAACATCGATCAAGATCTCTAATAGCTTATAATTTGAGTAATGTTAGGAAAGATATGATAACTTATGATTTGAGTGAGGTTATGACACCAGATAGAGTAAATGATGAAACAAAATTCATGTACTCAACCCCAATTCCAAATAGTTTACAAAGGCTTCATTAAGTTTAGTAGTCTGTTTTATAATCTAAGGCACATGTCATCATGAATCATAACATAGAATGCATATATTTCATCCAAAAAAAAAAAAAAAAATTGTAATAAACAAATAAATAAGTAACATAGAATATATATTTTTAGTGTCTTAGAATTCATTACAACTCATTTTTTTAATAGATGCGATATCATGGCACTTTAGGTGGATAATTTAACCCAATAAAGTCTCCTGTATGCTTACTAAGGAATTCAGCTTTATTTTCTTGTTCCCAACCTTGCATTCAAGATGGTGAATGCAATTTGTTTTCTTCATGAATATTCCTTGCAATGTTTTCTTCATTTTTATGAAGCACTAAGAACATAGGAAAACGTTGTCTTATCATTTAAATGGGGAAGAGGCCCTACTAAAAATTGTCTAAGTTAGGTTGGACTGCAAGATTAATTGTTTTATTAATATTATAAGGATTATTTGATGGAAACAATGAGCTTGAAAAATTAATTTTTGAGCTTCATGAAACAAAACAGATTTTATTTTATTCTTTGTAGCAATGGTAGTATAAAAAAACTGGCTTTGCTTTTATTACCTAGTTGACAGAAGATTTGATTTGTGATGGCTTTACAAATCTTTTTTGTAGGATATCATCCAGGCAATGCCTCATGATGCTCACCCAATGGGTGTTCTTGTCAGTGCAATGAGTGCTCTATCTATTTTTCATCCTGATGCTAATCCTGCTCTTAGAGTAAGTCAGTCTACTTTGAAGATCTTATGACCTTTATTAATCTCAATAGTAGTAGACATGATATGTTACACAAATAATGAAATATTCCTCAAAGTTATCTGTATTATGTATAATAGTGTTAAGAATTGACGTTCAAGCTTCTCAAAGTTCATGCACTTCCATGTTTTCGGAAAGAAAAGAGTTTCAACTCGTGAACAATTTGTCTGCTCTCCAAAGAATGGGTTTTGCTTCTCATGGTTTTGCATTAGGACATGGGCTCTATTGTGATGGTAGTCCCATCTAAGAAGAATCTATACTTCTCATGATCTTATGAATGTTTCCATTGGAAGGTCGAAATTGTTATGAGATTATATATATATATTTTCAATTTGTTACTTTCTCAAGCAAGGTTTGTGCAAAGATACAGATATGTATTATGCAGCTTGCTTCCTGTTGGGGTAGTTATAACTGGCCATGTCTTGAACTTCCAATTGCAACTTAATTATTCACAACTTTCAGTGCTGATAAACTGTGGTATTACTTGCCCGGTTTTTGAATGAGAGAGAGAGCTTAAAAAGATAGATTTTAGAATATTACTAAATGAACTACCTTCTTTGCTTTTTTAAGAGGAGAATTTGAACAGTAGAGATGTGAGAAATAGGGAGGGAGGGGGTTGCATTTACATCTAACTTAAAAGTGGGATTATTCTTCCTCTTCTCCTCTCTCTCTCTCGTTCTCTTTCTCTTTTGGCATTGATATTGTCATGAGGAGAATGTGAACAGTGAAGACATGAGAGAGAGAGAGAGAATGTATGCTATGGTTTAAAGAGAACATTCAAGAGGATACCTTTAATTTTAAAGAGTACAACATGATTCTTTTAATCTTGTGTAACATTCTGTTTTCCCTTGGGATGCAAGTGCTTACCATGTGAAGTTTAAAGGTTGTTCAACCCCATTTGGGGGAAAAGAAAGGTTTAAAGGTTGTAGCATGTGGTCAAGATTATATATGTTACATAATAACTGTTTTTGTAGCAAGGGAGTGATTCACATAAGCTTCTAACGAGGAGGCATTTAATCATGGTTATGGAGAGGGCCAATACCAAATATTGGAGAATCTTACAACTGCAGTAATTTAGGAACCCCATCAATTAAAACTATGGAAATAATGATGCCGAATGTGATCTTTATTCCAACACTTCTACCTGTTTTAGTGAAATATGTAAAAGAGTTGAACTTGTCTCTTTGAGAACAAACCAGGAAGCAGCTGTAATCGAGGAAACTTTTGCAATTATCTGAATGTTTGCAGAAATTGGATAAAATCATCTTGTTATCCACCACTGTGGGAATTTGCTTCCAGACTTCTTTTTATTTTGGCTTTCTTTTGTTAGGCTGATGTCTTTTTAAGACCTGTTGCTGTTTATTTAACCAGAACACAACCTTAATTACAAAAGCCAACAAAAGCCACCTAGAATATAAATCATATGCTTTTGTCTGGGAAATGTATCTATGTTATATCGGGTATTGATCATTAAAATATGAATGTGAATTTTGTCAATGGTGTTCTGTAGTTATCTAGCGTTTCTGATCATAAATTCCATTGTTGACATAGGGCCAAGATTTATACAAATCTAAACAAGTTAGAGATAAGCAAATAGTGCGCATACTTGGGAAGGTATGGTTATTTCCTTGCTCTTTTTATTTTAGCTTGTTTGGTTGAAAAAATATTTTGATAACCCTCTCTTGTGCTTCGGTTTCTGTGTCTCTGAGGCTATGTTCATCTGAGCATAATTTTGCCTTGGTTATTTAATATATGTGATCTTGTTTGCATGATCACATTTTTAATTACAGGCACCAACCATTGCAGCAGCAGCTTATTTAAGGATGGCAGGAAGGCCTCCTGTTCTCCCCTCTAGCAACCTTTCTTATTCAGAGAACTTCTTATATATGCTAGATTCACTGTATGTTCTGTTGCCATATCTTGTCCTCTTTTATATACTGGATGCTTCTGTGTGTCATTTTTTCTTTTTTTTTTTTTTTTTTTTTTTTTTTTTTTTTTTTTTTTTGTCACCATCTTTGCAAAAGAATCATGAATTTGTGGTTAATATGACAGAATTTATTTTGTGTTTAAAATGTTATGACCCATAACAACTATAGTCTGCCACTATGGGATTTGGGGCCCTCTAATATATTTGTGATTTCTTAACAAACTTGCAGAGGTAATAGGACCTACAAACCCAATCCTCGACTAGCTCGTGTTCTAGATATTCTCTTTATATTACACGCAGAACATGAAATGAATTGCTCCACAGCTGCTGCCAGGCATCTTGCATCAAGGTAATGATCTGAATGTCTAGTTTAAACAAAGTGACCCTTAAAGTCTTCCATCACTTACCTGACTCTTTTTTTTTTTACAGTGGTGTTGATGTGTACACAGCTCTTGCTGGGGCTGTTGGGGCACTATATGGTCCTCTTCATGGTGGAGCAAATGAGGTATGTTGACAAGCACACAACACTGATTCCATTTATTGAAGTTAGACTCCACTATGGACAGCATCAATGACCTCACTGGTGCAGATGAAGTTTTTTTACCTGATACTAAACTTTCTAAACATTTTATGCTTTTGTGCACATTGAATGAACTCTTGATCATGTGTAATTAAGCTTGTTTCTCTTATCCTGATTATATTAGGCTGTTCTGAAGATGCTGAGTGAGATTGGAACTGTTGACAACATTCCGGAGTTCATTGAGGGTGTGAAGAACAGGTACATATAGCTAATCTAAATTCATGTCTGGTTGGTCATGTATATACGTTTCAATAGCTCATGTAATTTTACTATGTTATATATCATGTTCTTGTGCAATTTCATTTCTTTAGGAGGCGAAAGATGTCAGGTTTTGGGCACCGTGTGTACAAAAACTATGATCCCAGAGCAAAGGTCATAAAGAAACTAGCTGAGGAAGTTTTTTCCATTGTTGGCCGGGATCCTCTTATTGAGGTGAGTTTGACACACTAAATCTGATTTGCATCTTTGCAAAGGACAACATTTACTTAGTGACGTGTGTTAATGTTTGGTTGTCAATTTTGTCTACTGCTAGAATTACATTCAATTTAGATATTACTCAGCCTTCCCCAGTTACCATGACATGCGAATAGTCGTACAAAGGAGTTGCACTTGTATTAGACATCCATTGCTGGGATATCAGTATTTCTAGACACTCCTAGACACATGGCCACTAAAATCTTGAATGCATGTAATTTAAAACTAAGTTTATTAGCTATGGAAAACATACCCAATGTGGATGATATGGCTTCCGTCATTCTTCCTTCTTTGATATATATTTTTTTTTTTCCTAAAAAAGGTAGTGTGAATTTGTAGAATAAAAAAGTGGAAGCCTACTTGTGATTTGTGAAAACTATTAGAAACTTTTATATTTAAAAAGAAGGATAATATATTGGGGGTTTCAATTACAATCACAAAAGTAATAAAAAAACTAATTACAGGAGATGACAAGACTCGTTTGGTTCTGTGGTGAGGCCAAATTTGTGGACATAACAGTCCTTGAGTAACATATATGGGCAATGATATAGTAGAAATATATAAAAAGAAGAGAAAGGAGAGAATTGCGTAAAGGCTTGAATGATATGAATTACTCATTCACAGCTCTAGTATTTATAGATAAAATGAGCACATGCTCATATTACAAGAAAGGAAACTAAATCAAATCAAAATCAAATCACAACTTATTCTAAAGCATATTCTATGGCATATTCTATAGCATAGTCAAATCTCTGCTATTGTGGTAAGTTATACCATGAATCGTGGTATCATATATGCTAACACATGCATAGTCAAATCTCTGCTATTATGGTAAGTCATACCATAAATCGTGGTATCATATATACTAACACTCCCCCTCAAATTGGTGCGTGGATATCTGAAACGCCCAACTTGGACAATGCATTCTCAAATATAATCTTGCTAACGCCCTTTGTAAGAATGTCTGCAAGCTGCTGAGAGCTTGTGACAAATGGAGTACAAATTTGACCAGAGATGATCTTCTCTTGAATGAAGTGATGGTCCACCTCTATATGCTTAGTCTTGTCATGCTGAACGGGATTTGCTGCTATGCTAATGGCAGACTTATTGTTGCAGTAGAGTGAGAATGGAAGCGATACTAGAAGGCACAAGTCTGTCATCAAGGTTTTCAGCCAAAGCAACTCACCTACCCCAAGAGCCATAGCCCTATACTCTGGCTCTGCACTAGATCGAGAGACCACATCCTGTTTCTTACTGCGTCAAGTAACCAAGTTACCACCAATAGTGGTACAATAACCTGAAGTAGACCTCCTATCTGAAATTGATCCTGCATAATCAGCATCTATCCAAGCCTCAACACGTAAGTGACCATGATTGGCAAACAAAATACCACGGCATGGACACCCTTTTAAGTAACGAATGATCCGAATAGCTGCATCAAGATGAGGGGCACGAGGAGACTGCATGAATTGACTCACGACACTCACGGCATAAGCAATGTCAGGTCGAGTCATGGATAAATAGATGAGTTTTCCCACAAGTCGTTGATACTGACCAATATCTGACAACTCCCCCTCAGAATTAGCCAACTGATGATTTTGCTCAATCGGAGTATCAGTAGGACGAGCGCCAAGCTGACCAGAAGCAAAAAGCAAGTCAAGAACATACTTGCGTTGAGAGATGAAAATGCCAGTCTTGGAGGGAGCCACCTCAATGCCTAAGAAGTACCGTAGAGGACCAAGATCTTTAATCTCAAACTGACGGTCAAGATAGCTCTTAACCTCATCAATTCTGGTAGTATCATCGCCAATAAGAACAATATCATCGACATACACAATGAGAGCAACTTTCACTGCCTGAATGACGTAAAAACAAGGTATGATCAGCTGCACTTTAATGGAAACCAAACTTGGGCATAGCAGTGCCAAAGCGATCAGACCAAGCTCGAGGAGACTGCTTGAGGTCATACAGAGAACAATGAAGATGACATACCATACCAGAATGAGCAGGAGAACGAAAGCCCGGAGGAGGAACCATGTACACCTCCTCCTGCAAATCACCATTGAGAAAGGCATTCTTGACATCTAACTGAAATAGAGGCCAAGATCGAATTGCAGCTACGGAAAATAATACACGGATGGTATTCATATTGGCAACAAGGGCAAAAGTCTCCTGATAATCTATGCCATAAGTCTGAGCATAACCCTTGGCAACCAATCAGGCCTTGTAATGAGTAACTTACCCATCTGGATTATGCTTAACTGTAAACACCCAACGACAACCCATAGCCTTTCATCCAATAAGAAGCGAAACCATGTCCCAAGTCTGATTTTTCTCAAGTGCTTGTAGTTCTTCTTTCATAGCATCACGCCATTGAGGTTGTGTTAGTGCATTTGCAACACTAGAAGGAATAGGAACCGAGGCAACAGAAACAAGAAAACTCCGATAGGAGGGTGAGAGAGCATAATCAGAAACAAAATTAGAAATAGGGTAAGTACAAGAACGTTTACCCTTTTGAAGAGCAATGGGGCGATCATCAAGCGAAACAATAGCTTGAGAAAGCGGAGCTGGTGCAGAAGGAACAGGGCAGTCAATCGTGGGAGTAGAAGCTTGTACTTGTTGTCTCTGATCATAAACCTGTGAAAAAAGGAACAATTCCCCCTGCTGGAGGGGTATCACGAGGAGGAATCATAGAAGAAGAAATAGGTAATGGTAGAGGAGTTGAAGACGGAAGAAGGTGATCATCCATTATATTCAATGGGAACCATTCACTCTGAGAAGCAACTGAACCAATATAGTATGGTGTATGCTCAAAGAAAGAAACATCCATGGATATAAACCGCCGACGACCGGGAGGATGGTAACACCTATAACCTTTTTGAGAGTGAGAATAGCCCAAAAACACACTTCAAAGCCTTGGGGTCAAGCTTTGTATGAGTCTGCCTCAACTGTTGAACAAAGTACACACACCCGAAGACTCGCGGAGGAATCAAAAAAGGAGATGAATTGGGACGTAAGATTGAGAGTGGGGTTGCAAAGTTAAGAATCCTAGAAGGAGTCCTATTAATGATGTAAACAGCGTTAAGAACTGCATCTCCCCAAAATGACCGGGGAACATTCATGCGAATGCAGATTGCTCTGGCTAAGTCAAGGATGCGGCGATTCTTTCTCTCAGAACGACCATTCTGTTGAGGAGTTTTAACATTAGCTATCTGATGCTTAATCCCAAATTCTGTACATAACCGTTGTACCTCCCCATAAGTGTACTCTGTACCTTGGTCAGATTGGAATTTTTTAATGGTACAACCATATTGAGTCTGAACCATTGTCATAAAATTTTTAAAAATGGTGTATACCTCATTTTTGGTTTTCATAAGATAAACCCAAGTAACACGACTATGATCATCAATGAACAACACGAAATATCGAAATCCAAGCCTAGAAGTAACTGGGCAAGGACCCCACACATTTGAATGAACAAGATCAAAAGGTGTTAAAGCGGATTTATTACTACTAGCAGGATAATTGGAACAAACATGTTTAGCCATATGACATGTTTCACAGGATAAATCTAACACTGCCACGTTACAAAATAAGGAAGAAAATAAATGTTTCAAATAACCAAAAGAAATATGTCCTAAACGCATGTGCCAACGCATAAGCTGGGTTTTATTAGATGAAACAATATTAGAAAATGAAGCTGAATGTGCTTGAGGTGACAAAGGAGCATCCAATAGGTATAAACTGTCCACTTCACGCCCACTGCCAATCTTTCGTTTCAACACCAGATCCTGAAAAATCAATGAGAGGGAAAGAACGTTACACTACAATTTAATTGTTTGGTAACGCTACTAACAGAAATAAGATTTGTAGTTAACTTTGGAACATGAAGTGTATTTGACAAAGTTAATGAAGGAGTAACTGATATGTGACCCTTCCCAGCAATGGAAGATGGAGAGCCATCCGCAAGGCGGACCTTGCATTGGCCAGAGCAGATACCATAAGATTGGAAGAGTGAGGACATACTAGTCATATTGTCTGAAGCACCAGAATCAATGATCCATGGTGTTGAAGATTTAGATACCAATAGTACCTGAGTGGGCATAAGTGGAGGTTGGCTGAGATGAGGCGTCCATTTGGTTGAAGAATTGCTTGAACTTGTCCAAATCAGCTTGAGTCAAGGTAACTGTGGCAGAAGATGTAGAGGCAGGGTTGTTAGGAGTTGACAACGAGACTGGTTGTGTAACAGAATGTATAGAGGATTGAGACTGTTGTTTCTGTTGCGGTGGACGTTCATGTAGAGCATAACAACGAGATTTGATGTGACCAACTTTTCCGCAATGGTCACACCGTCCACGTTGTCGTCCCCGAGGAGGACCGGTGGTAGTGCTCTGAACTAACTGGGATGGTAAAGTTTCAGAAAGGTTGGAAACCCGAACTGCCATAGCAGAACGATCAACAGAAGCAACACCTAATGCATGAGTCCGGCGGCTCTCGTCTGACAACACATAGGAGTATGCATCCTCAAGAGAAGGGAATGAAGATAAGCCCAATAAATGAACACGAGCATACTCAAACTCGACATTCAACCTGGCAAGAAACTGAAACACTCGATTCTTTTCCACAATTCCTGCATATAAAATTGCATCATTTGGATCCTTCCAAGAGTGGAAGGAATCATAATATGACATCTCCTCCCAAATAGCACGAAGCTTGGCGATGTAACCTGAAACTGTCAAGTCACCCAGAGAAATCCTGGTGATATCTCGCCCCAGCTGGAAAATTCGTGCATTATTCTACCTTTGAGAATAAATGCATTGAACTGAATCCCAAATCTGCTTAGCAGTCTTCATAAACATATAGCCAACAGCTATGTTTGGTTGCATTGAATTGACTAGCCAAGACATAACCATAGCATTATTTGCAAACCACTGTGAATATGCCTTCTCTGACTCAGCTGGCTCTTTCTCAGAACCAATAATATAGCCAATCTTGCCTTTGCCACCAACGAACATCTTGGTAGACTGTGCCCAAATCAAATAGTTGGAACCATCCAACTTCACTGTGGTGATTTGAAGTCCTGGATTTTTTGATGAGTTGGTGGGAAAAATGGAACCACCACCCATAGAACGTGAGCCAAGAGAATTAACAGTCGAGGACCCTAAATCTGCCATAATCTGTCACACGACAATAAAAAACTCCAAAAACACCACAAATTCTGTTAATAAATCAAAGGGTCTCCTTAGACCATGAACAATAACAATGTCTCTTCAGACCATTCCCGAAAAATCCAAATGCATACCTTTTTTAAGGAGCGCTGCCCGCTTATATATAGACAGACAACCTCCTTCTTAATATCCGGAATCTCTTTGTAAACTAATTTTTTTTTTACCCAAGTCCTTCTAAGTGTTGGAAACCAACTATTCCAATTTACCCAACCCTAGAAGAGTGAAAAAGAAATTGTAAAACTTAAAAATACATGTTTTCGATCACAAAACAGCAACACAGAAAAACATGTGTAGGCAACGTCACACGATGTCACAAACAACCTAAGGTAACTGTCGCACAAGTAGCAAGGCTGTTGAAAGGTGTTGGCTCTGATACCAAGTAGAATTATATAAAAAGAAGAGAAAGGAGAGAATTACGTAAAGGCTTGAATGATATGAATTACTCATTCACAGCTCTAGTATTTATAGATAAAATGAGCACATGCTCATATTACAAGAAAGGAAAACTAAATCAAATCAAAATTAAATCACAACTTATTCTAAAGCATATTTTATGGCATATTTTATAGCATAGTCAAATCTCTGCTATTATGGTAAGTCATACCATAAATCGTGGTATCATATATGCTAACATATGCATAGTCAAATCTCTGTTATTATTGTAAGTCATACCATAAATCGTGGTGTCATATATGCTAACAGATATGAACTTTATATAACGGTTGTAACTGCTATTTGCATTAGGGAGAGAAAAAAAAAAAAAAAAACAAAACAAAACAAAAAACAAAAAACAAGGTCTAGCTAGAGTAGAACTCATTCTTCCCCTCGTAGTTCCTTTAGCTTCTAATTTTTTAAAGTCATATTGGAGGCTGTATTTATTGATTTGAAGGTTGGAACAACAAAATATAAGGGTTGCTTCCAATATTTAAGATATTGGTTCCATTTTTTTTATCTTAGGTATTTTTTATTCTTTTTGGGGGCTTTCGTTAGATAACAGAGTTATACCTAAGTTTATGGTCAGCGCAAGTCAAAACACAAATTATGCTCATGTCAACAAAATTTAATTACAAAGTACTAGATTTGTCCTTGTATGTTCACTTTAACTCCACTTTTCAGTCAAAAATGTTATAATAATCGTCAAGGGCAGAAATCTAAAATAAAAAACTGTGTGAATGCTGTCCAATGAAAATGTCAAATAGGAGCCAGTATAATTATTGAATCAGCAAGGGAAGTCCATGTAATTACTAATTACACTACACTCTAGGTCAGTGAAATATTCCTTCTTTTTTATTACTAATCTACTCTGAAATCTTAAGTTGTCAGAGAGGGTGTAACTTTATTATTTAAATCCTTCAACATGCCTCCTCACGTGTGGCCTTCTTTTGGTCCAACACGTGTTTCAATTTTAATTAGGGTGACGTGAGGTTTGAATGCGAGACCTTTGGCTCTGATACCATATTAACTACCAGGTGGTAGTTAATATGGTATCAGAGCCAAAGGTCTCGCATTCAAACCTCACGTCACCCTAATTAAAATTGAAACACGTGTTGGACCAAAAGAAGGCCACACGTGAGGGGCGTGTTGAAGGATATATATTTAAGTTACACCATCTCTAACAACTTAAGCTTTTGGAGTAGATGGTTGTTAATATTGTATCAGAGCGAAAAGGTCTCGAATTCAAACCTTACCATCACCCTAATTAAAATTGAAAATCACGTATTGGGCCAAAAGAAGGCCACGCATAAGGGGGCGTGTTGAAGGATTTAAATATTAAAGTTACACCCTCTCTAACAACTTAAGCTTTTAGAGTAGATGGTAGTTAACACTATTCATGAATGATTTATTAACAGATGATTAGGGTCATTAAGAACCTGCCTGGTATTGTTCTTGGTGGTGAAGTGGTTGAAGTCATGAACCAATGGGGTATAATATATTTGGTTATTTTGTTCTTTTTTATATTATTATGAATTTTGGTTTCATTTCTAGTCATTTTGCATAATATAAAAGTATACCTTGTTATGATATTGTTTCCAAATATGCTTTGTGAGTTCTAAGGACCATCTTTACCTGCTTATTCATAAACATTGTAACATCTGCGAACATGTTCTATGCTTCTATTCTAATTTAAGCTACTTATTTATGGTATATAAATAACTTTCTCCTGTTGTTCAGTGATCTTATCTGCTATTTTTTTGATGTGAGTTTCTTTTATTTGAACCTCATCCCTCCCAAAAGGATGGGAAAGAGAAGGGGGGTGGGGGGTGGGAGAGGGAGGGTGAGAAGGGTATAGTCATGATTTCAATGAATTTATTCCTGATATTGCTGTAGTGTCCCTATATGTTAATCTTAGTTCATTTGCAGGTGGCTGTTGCTTTGGAGAAAGCTGCATTATCAGATGAATATTTTGTTAAGAGGAAGCTCTATCCAAATGTTGATTTCTACTCTGGGTTAATTTATAGGTATGCAGAAGATATCATTTGTTTCCTATCAAAGTTCTCCAACTGCTAAAGAAAATAATAAAATATTTTTAATCAGGGCAATGGGTTTCCCTCCAGAATTCTTTACGGTTTTGTTTGCAATTCCTCGAATGGCTGGTTATTTGTCACATTGGCGTGAGTCTTTGGACGATCCTGATACAAAGATAATGAGACCAGCACAGGTTACTTTTCTACTTTTATCTTTCTTGCTATAATTTTTTACTGAAGATTTTGATCCTCTTGCAATGATTGGTCTACTTTAAATTTCTTAGTAATGACATAAAACTAGATATATATATATATATATATATATATTCCCTTGAACTGGTGGGTTACTGTTGCCATTAGGTATTACAAAGGCAGGCCGTGATCAGTCAATGGCCTGCCGCCTGTGCCAGCATGAAACTAAATCCTAGGCCCAGGCCTGGTTGGTTTTTGGGCTTTGGACTGGGCCAATTGGGCTTAAATCTGCCTAGTATTTCCATGCTGTGTTACATCTGTGTTCAACGAGGAAAAGAAATATTTAAACTCCAGGACATTCATTGTCACTTCCCAATGTGAACATAAAGATAACTTTGTTCAAATTTAAACATTTTAATAACAATTAACTCACTTGAGTTATCGCATTTGATTTAATGGTACTGGTATTTTTATGATAATACATATATATATATACTAGTGTATGTATAATGATTATTCCTTATATATATTTATATATTTCCTTTACATATATTTACATATACCCATATGTATACGGATTTAGTGTTAAAATATATTCAATTCCATATAACATTGATTTTAGTTACAATCTTCATACAGAGTCCGTCTCCACGCTTTAAAAATATGCATGTGTGGTACTACATTAGTCTCAAATCTCAATTCTCTTACTAGTCTGTTCACAATTGTTTTTGACAAAAACTTTAAATATTTTGATTTCTAATCATCCTTATTCATTTTTCATTTATATTTTCATATAACATATTTTTTTAAAATTTAGTTAATCCTACTTCTTAGAAATTTAATCAATTGATTTAAATTTGATTCACAATTTTCAATCATACTAGTCATTTTTTGTTAATTTCAGTCATGAATTTCTATTTTAGTCAACACACATATTTAAGTTGTGATTTCAGTTCTTCCAATGCAATGCCTAATTTCTTTTTCCTTTTCCTTTTTATTTTTTTTTCCCAACCACTGCCCATCTTTGTTTTCTAGTTTTTTGTCGTCTTTTCAGTCTCCAAATCGGTCCCATGCTTATACAAATTTAACCAATTCAATTGTTCCCAATAGAATGATCACAGATTATCAATTTCTGTCGTGAATCACATCATAATTTGCTAGGTTTTAGTGAAGGCTCCATGGTTCAATCATGAATATAGTGGTTTTTTGTATTGACCCTATCACGACCTTCTCCGTTGTGTAGATATTTTCTGCATTGCACACTCTCTGTTCTCACTGATTTCAGAATGCATATACGTGGTTAGGAACCTAGGAGGTATTCACACATATAAGTGCACAACTTCTCCCCCAGGCAATGTGGGACATCACAGTCACCCCTCTGGGGACCCAGTGTCCTTGCTGGCCTAACCCTCATGGACTTGTGCAAGGTCTCCCCATTTCGGACTGGGTATTGGCTTTCATATTGTTTGTCACGATCTGTCTTGTTATGTAGATATTGTCCGCCTTGCATACTCATTACTCACCATGTTCACGGTTTTCAAAATATGTCTAAACAGTTAGGAGACATCCACACGTGTAAGTGCCAGCAACTTCTCCCCCCAATCAATGTGGGTCGTCACAGACCCAACTCTCTTTCTTGTGTATAACCCACATATTAACGGGGCAATCGGTTTCACAAAAAGAGAGCAAAAAGTATTGGCCATAATGTATAGTTAATTATATATTTACATTTTAACCTAAAAAAATGATATATTTATAGACTTATATCTACAGTCCATATATATATATATATATATGATTGTATCTATGCAAATGCAATGCAAGATTCAGATTAATCACTAAAAATGTATCAGATATAATTCCATCTTTAATGTTCTAAGCATCAGCCTCATGTTCTATATATATATATATATATATATATCACCCTTAAATTAAATAATTACTTGTTTTTAATTCATCTAAATTGTCTCACATGAACATTCAGTCTACTTTCCCCGTGCGTGCTCGCCGGGAGTGGGGGAGAATTTTAAGGACCAATTTTACCAAATTTTCTAATGCAGATAATATTATTATATGCTTTGGTTACAGTCTTATTAGAAGTAAGAGAATGCTTGCCTGATTTCATTAAAAGTCTTCCATCTATTCTTCTCTGACTTTCTCTACTCAAATACCCATTCTCTCTCTACCTCCTTCCACGGAAAGTTTCCTTACCTGATTTTATTGTAAGCATGCAATAGGTTTTTTTTGAATGGGGCCTGAAAGCAGGATTATCTATTGAATAGAGTAACGGTAACTTGGTTGAAATAGGTTAATTTTTCCTAGCTAATATTTGATTTTTAAAGTTTAAATTAAAATACCACAGATGATATATATATATATATATATATATTTGTATTATGTATACAATTAATACATATATTTTTTTAAAACAGTTTTTACACTCCTAGCAATGTCAGACACATGTTTGATGCCGCTATGACACCTCCTAGAGGAGTGTATGCTTCCTGAGTTAGATGTTACAAAAAATTTCCTTTGAAATTATTATTTTTTGTTTTCAAATTTTGCGTTCCTTTTTAAACATTTTCGTAGTATTATTCTTAGCTCCCCCCAACACCAAAATAAAGAAAAAAAAAAAAAAGAAAAGAAAAGAAAAGAAAAAGAACTCTATAATTTGTTTAACTTTTAAACATTTTCATACTATCAATTTTGGCTTTCCCTTTTTAAAAATGTTCATGGTATCATTCTTAGCTATTTTTCTTAGAAAATCTATAAATTAAAGATTCATCCCTCTAAATCATTCTTTCAATTTTTTTATTAAATGGGTGTTTATCTCTAGCTATTTATTTAACTACTACTTTTGTGCTCACGCTTGATGATAAGTAAATGTTGCTAATTTCCTCTTTTAGTTTATTGGTTGTCAAATATCAAGTTTCTACAGTACAAGTATTTAATTGTCCTTTAAATGACTGGTGCTGCCCCTAGGACTAGTCACGTGTGACGATCCCCGTACACAATTATTACCCAAGATCACTCAGTACACACCCAATATGGGGTATAACTCATCTACATGTCCAGGACAAATTGCTAAACAATTTCACATGGTAATGGTATCAAAGTGAATCGTTGGTGAAGTGGTAAGCCTCAGGTTATTCAGATAGTGAGTGCAAAAGGACTAGGAGGGATAGGACAGGATGGATCAATCATCATCATGTCTATGGGGGACGTGACGGAACCTATGGATTCAATTTTAATTTCACGCAACTCATGCTCCTTATATTTGTTAATTGGAAAAAGTTTGTTATATATTTTTAAATATTTAATTTAATTTAATTTTTTTTCCTAGTTGGTACTCACACCCCCCTTCCATGAATTTGCTTCCACCCAAGAGGAGTCGAACCTTAGACCCGACCCAAAAGCTTAAGCTATTAGGTGGGGCTAACACCCAACCCATATATACCCATTCATTTTCCCATCCGGATCCGATGTGGGACAAGCTCCTCCTTGTAACACTTACCCACTTGAGCCAACCCCTTGGGGTTAATATTTAATTTAATTTAGTTACACATTTGTTAAAATTCTTAATCTAAAATGAATATTTAATTTTAACCATAAGAAAAAAGAATAAATCAAATAAATAAATAATACAATTAAATTATTAAAACTGAAGTATTATTAAAACAATTCAAAATAAATCACACAGATAAAGCAATTGACAATAATAATTTAAGATAATACAAGAAATACTTGGGAAAGGCGAGTTAAAAGATTTTGCGAAATTTGAAAATTCCAATTCTTTTTCTTTGATCAGATCACCTGTCCAAGAAAATTGTGTAGTTACCTTCAAACTAAGAGGACATTTTAACCTTATTTATAGCTTTTGGTTTGGTGATGTTTTTGTAATTTTTCTTATCTGAAAAATGGGGGGGAGGGGGGAAGTACTGGCTAAAAGAGTCTCTTGAACAATAAAAATGTTGACGTGACCCTTTTATTTTTTATTTATTTTTTATTTTTTTCATTCCCTTCAAAAAATTAGATCTGAATCAGGATCTACTGGGCCAGTAGCCTTGTTCTGGGTTGTTCTGGCCCAATTGCTATTCGTGCTCAGGTTGGCCTGGGCTGGTCAACCTACTGGGCCTAGGGCCTTTTCTTTTCTCCTCTCAATACCTACTTGCCATCTAGGAGATTAAGTTTGTTTTCCCCTGTATACAATTTATACGAGAGAATTTATTGCTTCCAATGTCAACTTTAGTTCTTTACCTATTTGTTGGGATTTATGGAAGAAATTTTGTTTTTTTACTGATCTTCCATTAATATGTTAAGTCGTTGCTTATTTAGACAAGAATTTTCTGCTAATATCTGAAATCTTCGTAAAATATATATACACCCACACACACACACACACACATATATATAATATTAAATTTATATAGAAAACTAAGAAAGGTGACCTTGTAATGTTATTGCACTGAAAGGAACCAGGTTTTGCAGCTCAAGTCATCAGCTGCATCTTTTAAGGCACCTACTGTAGTTCATAATTGTCAGAAATTCAGGCCCTGATCATAATTGAAGGTGTAATTGTGAAAATAAAAAAATAAAAAAATGGTCTCCCAATTCTTCTTCTGGATTTTTGATTTGTTGGTGGAGGAAATAATCTTTCTAGAGCTTGAACTTACCATCACTGAAAGTTCTGTGCAAATACAGTTTGACGAACATAACTTTGCAAGCTTCCTGTTAAACATGGGGTGACAATCTCTGCAAAATAGAAGCATATGTTTTCACTAAAAACAGGTTGCTTAAAAACTTTCATTCCTGAGGATCTAACGCAATGCTCGTAATGCGAGAACGCAATGGGATTGGCTTGTATCTAGGTCGAAATCTGCTGATTATGATCAGAATTGGGATCCATATATAACAACCAAGAACTGTATGAATTACCTGTGGAATAAAAATGGTATTCAGATTTCTGTTCTGATAGGAATGTTGACTACTAACTCAATCAATTTGGATTTGTTCCCAACTTCTTGGATTGAATACATGGATCCATCATCCCAGTCGACTCTTCGTAAATCCACGTTCTTGAATCTGGGCTCTTACAGAGTGAAATGCTAGTCTAGAATATCTAGTTTCGAAATTCTTAGATCTGTGTTCATAAGCTGCAACTGTAGGTTTACGGTGGTCATTCACCCAACATTAGATGGAATGTTGCAGTTAAGAAATAGCATATGCACAACGTAAGCGTATAGATGGATGTGCGGCAAGATAAGAAAAGATAGAATTAGAAATGAGCACATTTGGGCAATGGTTGAAGTTGCACCCATTGGAGATTAAATGAGAGAAGTTTGATTAATGTGTTCTGGACAGGTGAAAAGAAGACTACTATGTGGACCAGTAAGGAAAAGTGATGTGGTCCACATTCAGGGTAATGCTAGGGGAAGGGGAAGGGGAACGCAAAATTAAATGGATAAAGTTACTGAGGAGAGAGATGATAGTGTGTGGGTAGAGTAGAATGAAAAAACAAGATTCATGTAGTTGACCCAAGTAAGGAAAATTTTACCACCATTTCCTTTCTTAGAACTTGGAAGGGACCAACTAGCTGCATGAAAGATAAGATTACGACACAAGAGTTGACAATCGACTGCATATTTCAATGTTTCCCTCTCTCTCTCTCTTTTTTTTTTTTTTTTAATTCAATAATTCCCCTTAGTTGATATAGTGATTCATCAGGCAGGTTCAACTTACTTATGTGATGTAGTTCAACATCCTGTTGCATCTTGGCTCTAGATTTAGGTTAGACTTGCTCCATTTTTAATAGACACAAAATAAATAACCTTATTAGACCATTATTCTGTTTCGATGTTCCATTGAATTGCAGTACACTGATAATATATGTCGGCCAAGATGGTTCCTCTTATGCATAAAATTTAATTTACTCTGGACAATTATCTAACATTTGAGTTGTATCATCTATTTATGCTGCTTTTCATGCTACTTTTATCAGGAAATTGCTGGCAAATGATGGTTTAATATGTATAATTTATTATGGGTTTTTTGATTTTTGAAATTAAATGTCATAATTCAAGAGAAAAAATGCATTTGGATGAATTGATTCAGTATGATACTTGCTGCAATGTTGAGATTGTGCAGTCAAGTTATAGAAAAATTAGTCGCTCATTGCATTCAAATGGGCCAAAGTAACTGTACAATGCCATTGTTTTGCTCTGTTGCTAAATTTTGACTGAGAAGATTGAGAAAAATGAAAAGGGAGGTGGAATATGGGTGGGGGTGGGTTTGTCTTCACTTTCTAATACTTTTTCAACCTACCAAGTTGCTAGCTTTCTAGCTACCATATACTTTGTATAAAACTATTATCTTCCAATTTATCATAAACGTAAGTGCCGCGAGAACATTTATTACATGTCCTTTTCTTGTATTGCTGTATCTTGATTTTATGTGTCTTTTCATTCAGGTATACGTTGGTGAATGGTTGCGGCATTATATGCCACTCAAAGAACGGATGGTAGCAACCGAGTCTGATAGACTGGGTCAGGTATCTGTTTCAAATGCAACCAGGCGTCGGCTGGCTGGGTCTGGATCTTAGGTGCAAACGCGATCTACACTTCCAAGATTTTCAATGGCTGAAATTCAGAAATAAAAAGCTGCCTGATTTTAGTTCTGCATTAAAAATACAAATTTATCCCAAAGAAGTGAGGAATAGTATTACTAATTTTGCTCTGGGTGGTTCCAGCATAAATAAGGATGAATATTAGATGTATTTTGGAATATGTTGTTGGTTGACATGTATTAATAAGAAAACTTCAACTGGGACTTTTGTGTATCACTAACCTTTATTCTTCCATTTGCTGCCACTTTTGCCATTAGGGGCATCACTGCATTATTTAGCTTCATCGAGATATATTCGGTCACCTATAAATTATAATCACCGATTACATTCTTCGAACGGCATCACTAAATTGGGGTCTTCGTGGTTCAGTGAAGTAATAGTTGACTAATTTCTATCAAGTTTTATTAGTAAAAAGACAAAAGTACACACTAAAACTACATAGAACAATGGAGCTAAACTGCATCTCTACTGTTACCAAGAGTTTCATTGATCAACAAAGCCTGGCCAACAAGCAGTCTGATCCACTTCTTCAATTTGACAGTCACTACGGGCCTGTTTTTGCTTCTTGCTTTTGCTTTAACCCAAAGCAGAAGCAATGTTTCTGTTTTTGAGTGTGTTCAACACTATTTTGAAACTTGTTTAGTAAGTAAGATTTTTAGAAGCAAAAATATGAAAGCATGTTTGGTAAAACGTGTTAAGTTTGAAAATAATGAATGGCTAGTTAAAAATGTCATTTTTGAAACAAAAAATTGATTAAAAAAAAAAAAATTTAAACAGTGCTTTGTTACATTGTGGAAGTAAACAAAAGTATCATTTTTATATTTTCGATTTTGGCCTCAATTTTGAAAGTACTTCGGTACTATTCAAATGATAGCAAACGTTACCAAACATGTTTCGTATTTTTACTTCGTTACAGTATACTAGCAAAAGTAAAAAATACAAAGCATTAGCAAAACGGGCCCTATGTCAGCTTTGTAGCTTTAATTGATTTTCATTCATAGCTATGTAATTAAGAGAATGAGTCTTAGTATTTTTTTAATTTCTTAATTTTTAACAAGGCAACAAAACAAACACACAAAAAGAAAAATAGAGGAACAATGCATGACAAGACCCCCACAATCCCTCTCCACCAACTGAAGCAAATGCACTGAAAATTTGGAGAGCTTCGCCGCTTCATGGGTCAAACAATTTGCTTCCCGCAGGATATGCGATAAACTTGCAAAAGGGAAACATTTCAAAGCAGAATGAATATATATATATAAACGATTGAAGATATATGTTAGGTGCTGAATGTTATACATTTTAGCTCTTAACTTGCGTGTTTTATTCTCTTAGTAATAGTTGTATCTGTGATTTATTTAGTGTTTTTCTTTATTTTAAGGGCTTAGTTATCAAAACTAGTGATTTTAGGCTTTAAAAGATGATATTCAAGAAGTTAGGGGAAGACCACATCCATTGGGCTGAGCAATGATGAAGATCTAAGTTTAATTGGACATAGAAAAGAGCCCAAGAGAAGCCACAAGCTGATGAGAATGGAAACAAGAAGAAAAAGAAGAATCCTTCTCCAACTAGGAAACTTTCTCCAAAATTGGGAACTTGAACCCGTTTTAGTATTCTATCTATATCTCATGTTGTGAGTGTCAAAACAATGTAAGCTCCAATTGGGTTGAAAGGAAATTCGAAGATCTACAATTTTGTATTTTACGAAAATTTCGTGAAACAGTTGTTTACCTTGTCAAAACTAGGCTGGAAGTCAGCACGAATTTTGGAGTCCGAGTTTGTTTGAATTTCCATATATCTCCTATTTGGAAAAAGGGAACTTTGGGGCTATTATTCTCTTATTTAAAGAGGTTCTCTACACCATTAGAGATCATCATACACAGTAGCTAGAGGTTGAAATCATAGGAGAAGAATAAAGAAGAAACAAGGGATCGACCTATGGCAGCGAAGATAGTCTTCCCAATCATAAAGAAGTTCATTCGAGCCATGAGCGGCTAAGAACACATCATCATGTCATTAACTTTTAACTAGTAACATATTCATAAACTTTTATTCAATATAGAGTAATGAAGAATCAAGTAAGATTACTCAATAAAAGGCAAAGTTTGAGGCATTAGAAATCCCTACCTCAATTTGTGCTAGCCAATCAAGCTCTTAGCAACCCTAGATTTTGAAATCCTCCAAGTGTGTGCAAGGTTGGTCTCAAATGGAAGTTTTAGACAAGTGGAACAAAACTCTCTCCTTGCTTATCACCAAAATCTCACCTTAAACCTCTCAATTTTGAAGATGAAACATATAGTCATGTGTGTATATAGATATAGAGAGTGGAAGAAGAAAATCCTAGAGAGAGAGAGAGAGAGAGCTAGCCGAAGTGGGGAAAGAAAGGGGTGGGTTAGCCAAGTTCAAATGGTGTGTATGGCCTTCCCTTTGCCCAGTGTCCAAGTTTGGTAGGTTACTAACTTTAGGTCAAGTTACAATCTTGCCCTCACTCATCCATTTAATGCCTTTCATATCCCACAAAATATCTCCTCTAATACATAGATACATATACATGTATATGCATGAGAAAAGTCCATAATGCCCCTCAATGAAAATGGTAAAATTGGGAGAAGTTCCTGAGCCTAGAAATCGTCCCGACTTCCAAAAAATTTAAAAATTTATCTTGTCGCCTCTAATTGACTTAAAATAATAAAAAATACACTTCTAAAACTATTGGCTCAAGAAAATGACCTACCGGGCCTCGGGAAACGCGTGGCACGCAAAATAAGGCACAAAAAATAAATAAAATAAAAATTCAAAAAAATATGGGACATTACAATTTACCCTCCTTAAAAAGGAGGCCCACAACCATACGCCTTCTCAAGAAACACCTTACAAAACCCGTAAGACTATAAGCTAACAAACCTTATTGCCTTTGACACCGGATGTCAATAGGCAATCACACACCACTATCACTAGTAACACAAGCTCACCACCCTATGTGGGTACTCATCACACAAATGTTCTACCACATATACCACTGGGTCCTATACCTGGCTTAAAACCGATACTGTTACACAATATACTTCAACATAAGGCTCCGAAGCCCACAAAGAAACTGTCGCTAGATCCCCGATCACGACGACATGTGACCTTGATTCATCCTTTGAAGTAATCAAGGAATAGGTAGCAATTCAAAACCACCTAAGAAATAATAGCCTCCCCAAGGGACAAGGTATCACTATTTTACCCTTAAATTCGGACATCGCAAAAAAGTTGGCACCATCATCCTTTTAGATGTAACCTTACACCAGTTTATTCCTTTTCAAATCACCAGAAAAACAAATTTCATAACCAAATCTTATTACATCCACCTTAGTCAAATATTAGAGCAAGGAATGATCAAAAGTCTTATAGTCCCAAAAGATTGTCCTTCAAAGGTTTTAGAAACCTTCAACTTTCCAAGTCGTCTAAACAAAGCCATTAGTACCAAAATTACATGCTAGAAAGCCCAATTCTCATCAAGGTCCACAGTACACCACCACAATGGGTAAAAAAGCACTCATATTAGGTCAACATAGAATCTACATCAATTCTGAGTTGATCGAAGTTCAGAACCAGATGAGGTATACTCCATGTCTAAATGTCTTCAAAAAAAATATTGAACCAGCTATAGTCGATTATCTAGTGTATTATAAAGCATGGTGACAACTGCACCCTAGCTTAAACCCAAGCTTTAGACTGGTTGACCATAACATTAATATGGAAATATATATCAAAACTAGACTGCCTTATGTCTTAAAAAATTCCTCTTGAAATAGAATATTCAGCAGATGTCACCGCAGTAATTGCAAAAGAATATGAGCACATTGAAGGACTCTTTGCCCAGACGGATCTAGACGATATAGACAACTTTTCGGTCAACAGCATTGAAGGCCATAACATAGCTAATATGGTAGAAGGATAATTGAGCAATGTACAATACAAAAAAACACAAAAAACCACAATCAAGCTTCAACACTTAAAATAAATAAATTTAAAAAAAAAAAAAAAAAAAAAAAAATCAACAGTCTTATAGTCCCAAAAGATTGTCCGTCAGAGGTCTTAGAAACCTTCAACTTTCCAAGTCGTCTAAAAAAAAGCCATCACCCTAGAACAAAGCCATTGGTACTAAAATTACATGCTAGAAAGCCGGACACAGTACACCACCAGAATGGGTAAAAAATGGAGCAGCCATATTAGGTTAACACATAATCTACATCAATTCTGAGCCGATCGAAGTTCAGAATGATGAGGTATACTTCATGTCTAAATGATCAGTGAAGAAAAAACCACAATCAGGCTTTAACACTTAAAATAAATAAATTATATCACAGAATTCCTCAATCAACAGTCACCGTCTGAGACAGAAGCTTTATCATAATGGAGGTACGCAGCAGAATCCCTCAGTCAACGGTCACCATCTGAAACAAAAGCCTTATCACAAGATGCATGCAACAAGACACGTGGAAGGCATACAGTAAAATAGAGCCAAGCAACCGTTGATGAAACCATCTATCATCTTGGCTGTCCACAGACTCCTGAGATTTGCCTATAAAAAGGTCTCCGAAGATTATTATGAGGTGGTACAGAGAAACTATCATAGCTCACTATCTGTATATCAAGTAGAGAGTTTTCGTTTGTAATCACTTAGTACCATTATTTGTAGAGTGTTTTCATTTGCAATCTGTACTACTCCTAATTTTAAAAGGATAGTCCTGGTATTTAATTTACATTTTAATTGACTTTTTACTTATTTGACTTGCTTGACTTATTTGATTATTTAGTTTAATTATTTTTATTTATTAATTTGATTTAATTATTTAATTATGAGTTTTAATTTCGTTAATTGTTTCTTATGTATTTTATTGGGTTGTGTTTTTAGTTATATGTGTTTTTTTTTTTTTTTATTGGATTAGTTTGGTCATTCTAATGTGTAAATTAGTTTAATTAAATGTTTTATTTGGATTAAATTATGTAAGTGGATCAAATTGTCACAGTTACTGTATTAAATTAGATTAATAACTGGTCTAATTTATTTTAAACAAGAAGGATTCCCTAAGAGGTTACGCGTATGTAGCCGAGTATTTTATAGGCTAGATTGCTTTATGGGCCGATTGACGAGAGTTTTACATTAGGCCTCTGGCTTTAGTTAAACAGGGATTAGGGTTTAGGATTTTTACGCCTATATATACATAGTTATAATCTGCATTAAAGGTTGAAAAAAACCCTACTCACATAGCATAGATACAAAGAGTTACAGAGTGAGCCTTTGAGAGAGCAGAGCAAGTTTGTGAGGTTTCCAATCGAGGCTTCAAGATTTGGCTTAGGAGAAGGGAGGAACAGAAGTTATAGGAGGCTAGACAATATTGCAGTGGTCGTCGGAAAGCTTAGAACAACGGCGACAAGGTTTTGTTTACAAAACTGTACAGGCAAGTTCTTTTCTTTCTCCTTCCCTTTGCCTGTGTTCTGTGCACCTAGATAGCCTTTAGGGGATTAATTGGACCATAATTGAACCATGTATAATTGTTGTATGATATATTTGATTTCCTGTTGTCGATGAAATTAATCTGAAATTGTTCTGTCATATATGGTTTTGTATGTCTCTGTTTCTGCATAAAAACGTCCATCAGTTTTAAATCTTTTGTTGAACCTTCTGCACTAAACCAAGAACTTAATCATCACTAGATGTAAATTAAGACCTGTAAGCTCAAAGTAGAGGAAGAACAGGAAGGTTCAAGTAGCCGGAGATGGAGGGGATAAGCTGAAACGGAGCAACAGGAGGCCGGAAGCTCTCAAAGAGGGGTGAGAGCAGGCTCCTTAGATGTGGAAGCCGGCTCCCACACAAGTAGAGCCGGCTCTAAGGTCATTGGAGCTGGCTCCAAGCATTCTAGAGCCTGCTCCCACAATTTGGAGCAGGCTTTCTCTCAAATACACTTTCTGAATTTTTTTTTTTTACGAGTAATTTGAGACTGTAGGAGTTGGGGACTATTTGGACTATGTCTGGGACTTCACAGAATGTTTAAAAAGGTAGTCTTAGGTTTTAATAAGACCTTTAATTGATGAAAGTTTAATTCTAGACAACGAAACAACAGCATAAAATTATTGGGTTGTCTATACTGTTAACGGAGGAAGGATGGATTAAGTTGTTGAATTAAATTTTAGCAATGTATTAGGAGATTGGATGTTTATAAAACCTGTTTTAAATGCATTATAAGGTCCCTTATTTATTCCTAGTGATCTATACATGCTTTGGGATGCTAATTGTCGAAATAGTAAATCTTTTTTACAATTAAGTGGATTACGGTTGAATTTTAATTGCTAGATTGTTAATCTTCTTACTGCAATTATTTGGATATTAGTTTTGGATTGTAAATTACTAAACTATTATATATATGATGTAATTTACAAGGATATGGAGGATGGTATGCACCGGTATGGGACGGTGACATACTAGGAACGGTTTAGCTCAAAACGCCTAAACCTGACCTAACGGATTAAAGGAATGGATTTATAAATATTGGATCCTAATTTTGGTTAAGACATATCAACTGCAACTAAGTTGAGTGGCTTCCTGGATTAATGGACGGTAGTTAAGACACATCGACTGAATAAGTTGAGTGACTAACTAGTGGGTTTGTTGTATGTCAGTTTATTAATTATTTGAACTACATACCCTGGATTTGGACGGACTTTATATATATGTTTATGGTACCACGAGCTGAGCTTGAGTCTCAGACTCGTTGGTTAGGGTGCGTATATGCAGTGGGTTGAGGTGTACCATGTTAGGTCTAGATACTCATGCCCACCTTTGGGTGCGTATTCACATGTTACCTTCTATTTAGGTTGAGACCCCTATTATAGAATAGTGAATGTCCCTTAGTGTGGATATATTTATACATATGGACTAGATAGATATTGTGAAGTGTCTACGGTGTATGTGCAGCAGGGACAGAGGGCGCCAGTGCCTTTATGTAATACCCCTAATTTTAAAAGGATAGTCTCGATATTTATTTATTTATTTTTATTGTATTTTTTAATTGTTTAATTGATTATTTGACTAATTGCTTATGTATTTAATTGAATTAAGTGTTACTTGATTAATTGGCTACTTATTTATATGTTATTTGTATTTTGTCTAGGTGTTATTTGTATTATTTGTTTAATTAGATTGTGTGCTTAAATGATGTATTTGATTAATTGTAATTAATTGTAAATTAAATGATTAAATGTTTTATTTTATTTTATTTTATGGTTATGGTTAGTAGTAATGGGCTAACTAATTGGATCCCATGAACTACTTGGATAAGAGGTTGGATGGGTATGAATAATTACCTAATGATAGTTCTATATGTATATATATAGATATATATGTATATACATATATATAAAAAGGGAAGTAATTTATTAATATTATAGTAACTTTAGTATTAATAATTAATCTGATGTATATATTTTATATATTTATATAATAAGGATACGTAACATGTTTTAAGTTACCTTTTTAATATTATGGTAACTTTAGTATAAATAAATAATCTAATTAAGTTACCTTTTAATATTATGGTAACTTTAGTATTAATAAATAATCTAATGTATATATTTTATTTAATTAATAAAGATATACATAGATTATATACGTAACATATTTTAAGTTATCTTTTTAATATTTTCATTTTTATTTTTCTTTATTGAGTTGACTTGGATTGAGAAAAGGAATAGGGTTATTAGCCTACAAATACACAACTATAGGTTGAAAAAGGAGTGAAAATATATCACGTAATATATTCTAGAGAGAGAAAGTTAGAGAGAGAAGGAGAAAGATGAAGGAATGAGGAGAAAACCCTTTAGAGAGAAGATCAAGGAAGAAGAAGTTTAACTTTCAATCCGAAAGTTTAAGGCAAGTTCTTTTTCTATCTCTTTCCCTTTGATTCGTGTTTCTGTACATGCCTAGGAAATTCCAGAATTTATTAAACACATAAAATTAAATAATTATGC